TTTGACGACACATATTGTGTCTAGGTCTCCGAACCCATTCCTGCCACAAAACTACCAAGGTGAGAATATTCACTCGCCGACACATGAGATCGAGGTAGATAGAGCAGCAACGACATAAGCTTCTGAGATCATCTTCTTAGCACAGCTAGGATGATCAGCCAAGTGGTCTGTAGGGGGAGAATGCCATTATCCCGGCCCGTGACGATGACGCTTTTGCTCATGGTGGATGTGGATACAATCAGTCATGTACTACACACAAGGAGTAACAGAAGTACGAATCTCATGACAACCTTAGAGTAGGAAAAAAGTGAAACGAGTTCTCTGACTAACAACCAACAGTAGGAGCAATTCATGTAACAATGATTCGATGGTGTAGTGGCTCCGCGCCGTCACCTTACAAAAACAGGATGTACGGGATGACCACAGTGCACGTTTTGAATTGGGTCTACTTAAATATATTGAGTGTAACTGTTCTTACTCAAGATCTCGTTGAACTCAAAATGTTCTCCTACCTAAAAGGCTTTGGACTCGATCATGACTTTTGCTTCAGATAATGAACACTTTTATCCAGGTATAAAAATGAATTATACATCAACAAATGAAGAGACCCTGTTACTAGTGATGACGACTGATGAAAAGAAATGCGCTGAAAAGGGACAGAAAAGAGAAATTTCAAACTGGAAAAGCAGGAAGGCAAGTGACACTATTAGCTACTCAACCGATGCTTTCGCACACAGAAGAATTTCGTACTGTATTCGGGCCCTGCCCCGTCTTATCCCTTTGGTTTCACCCGATGTACCAATTAATGGGGTATTTAGATCCTTTTTGCCACATTACTTGATTCCCCGTTTAAAGATGAACTCGAAACCTTTCCATGGTTCTGCTCACTCTGTCAGTGACAAGGGAATGTTGTTGGACTTAGTGCAGTCTCTAAACAATCCGCTCTCTCATGTTGAATATTCTGTTGTTTTGCAAGCTGCAACTAACCAAGCAACTAACTAGTTGCTTGCAAGAAAAGATGGACACTTTTTCTAGTTTTATTATGGGTGAGCGAGCCATCTCTCGCAACTGTTCGACATAGACTGCGGGTCAGTTCGCCTACTGTACCAAGGTTCGGTCGGACCTCGTCCCTCCATAGGAAAGATATTTAGCAAGAAGCCGCTGCTGCAGTCTATGCATGTCCATGGTATCTTGATGTCTTCTGGCAAGAATGTCCTCGAAACTTGGGCTGACAGATTCACTAGTGCTCAAAAGAGTCTCAAGTACGGAGGTTCCAATAGTAGCACACAGTACATAACAGTACTTTCTTGGAGGTGGGGGAATATTTTCAGAAGATTGTCCTCTCCGTATGCAGGCACTTGATGAAGCTCTTTACAGTACAGTACGCTTGTTCGTCGTGCTGCCACTTTAACTTCAGTCCACGACTCACGATCTTCCAATCGGGAAAGTTATAACACAGAAGGGAGAGCAGCATTTCCAATTGGGATGTGAGGCAAGATTTATATCAGGTGGATTGCAGTCATTGGAGATGTTCGACAGGGTACGATATAATGACAAGCTACACTTCGGGTTGGAATGAACTAATGAATGTGCTGAAGAGTGCAACGTCCATCAGTGTTTTGAAGGATACATGTCGATACATTCGAGATGAACAGAAGCTTGAAATTTTGACTTCCTTCCGATTTGAGTCATCGGAGAGTAGGATACCCAGAGTTGGTGCACCTTCTCTACAATGGAAGAGATCATCACAGATTTCTATTGGATGAGTCTCAAAGTCGCTTTGTTAAGATGCCCTTGATAGATAGTAGCATTCATGAAGACAAGTGGGACGCTGAGGAATCAAATAGCCTGTTTTGCCGGAAGAATTGACTGTGGTCTATGACACCATACTCATCCTATGAAACCGCACCTGTAGTGTGATTTGATTCCAAGCGGGCAATGTGCATGAGATGGATAATTTATAAGAGCTAATGTCTCCAGGCTGTAATGTGCGTGAAACTATCGGAATATGGAACCGCACCTGGTCCAGTTGTAGCTCTTTTTGTCAGGCCGGAATGTGCAAGACAATCTTTCACAGGGAGGTGACGCTAACACTCACGATACTGACATCTACAAACTACTCAGAGTCATCGGTAACATGCAAACTTCTTAAAAAAAGCTTCATCGTTGGAAGTTCGATCAATGATGAACTTTGTGAAGGGATCCAGCCGTCCTATTGTAACACCACGAGAGTTCTAGGTTTTAGCACGACGGGCTACTTCGGAGTTTTACTAAAGCGATGAACTACAAATGTGCACACATGATCTTTCTTCCCAAAGTCCACCCGATGGCCAGACGCTAGCAGACTTCCTAGGTGGACCCAAGGTCACCATGCGTATGTTCGGAAGTAGCCTACCGCTCCCTAACCAGCAATTATTTCGTGGAGATTTGGCAGCATGGTAGCAGAGCAGTCTTGTGTCTTGAAGCTCTAGGAGCAGTCCAAGAGTCTAGGCACAACATCGTGGCAGAGGGCTGCAAAACAACAAAATAACAAGACCAACTGCAAATCAAAAAGCGTGTATGAGTGAAGGTGAAAGAAAGCAGGCCATTCGTTCACTGGGCTGTTTTGTCTGCCTGTCTACAGCAGGCAGGAAATATGGAAATCGTATCCCGAGACTGTCAGAGATACTGTATGGATAGAAATGGTCCATGACGATCCGTTCGCGAATCCAGCTTCTTGTTTGTTTTGCAGGTGTGTAGACATAGGGCTTTTGACGATACAGCATGCACAGTATATAAGCTTTGCCTCGTGCGTTTTACTTTGCTCTGCCAATTCTGAACCAGTACTGTGCTGTTTTACTTCCTTCAAGTGTCGAGGCTGAGGTTCTCTCAGAGATTCACTTCCTCATACCGGCAGGCATGGAAAGAGACCGGTTCATCCGGTACCCGGTGGTGTTATAGTGCGAGTAGTAATCAAGCGGAGCAGTGACGATAGAGGTAAGAATGGAGCAAGCTTCAAGAATGGAGCAGTACTTGATCTCCCCACCCACTACGCGAGTCAGATCGACGCTCGTGGATGGTGCTCGTACTTTCGTTCGAGTTCATGGTTCAGGTGTGGATCATTGATGTTCTGTTGGGAGTTGAAAATTCAGATCCTGTCAACCTCATCGTTCTTCACGTTCGGCTTATTATCATTGGCATGGAATTCAAGCTCTTCACATTCTGCTGTCACGAGAGCATGAGTGTCGCCATACACCCATGCACTCCGTCGTGTGATGTGATGGCTGTTGAATGTCATTCTCCAAAGATGTACCCTGTCGTCCAAAACTAGAAGTCCTCACTGTTCTTCTCGTCGCTCTTCATCCGAACGTGTTCTCTGTTGAGTGACCGAAACCTGCTGGATGCTTACGTGGAGCCGGGAAAGATACGATGAAGATAAACGAATTCCTTCGAGATACGGGGAAGTCTGTAACAATCTCCCATGTTCTAGACATCTTTACCGTATCGACCTGATGTCCAGACAAATTTTCACGAAGCTTCAGGTATTAATGATCTACCGATATAGGTCACGTGATTCTGCTCCATGAAGAAAGCATGGCTGGGAAAGTCTGGTTGAATAAGGCAAAGCGAAATTCCGTGGTCAGGATTTGAGAAGTTGGGCTACGTTCTGATTTGGTACGTCCCTCTTAAAAATTTGTAGTCCTATGGTAGTGTAGCGAGTGTGGTCGCAAGGTAGTGTACAAGCCTATACCCTGGTTTGTCTTTTGACGCCTGATTCTTCAATCGTAGCTCGGTTGTTGGAGTGAATTTGCTTCACACTGTATTCAACTCATCCATCCGTGGACTCTCGTGTGTCTATGCAGCAGCTGCGATAGATTGGGCCGCCATCTGTTTGACTCCACGTCCGATTCAATATATCCAGGATTGGGTATGTTTAGTATCAATAAATGCCTGGGAAGAAAATCTTCCTCACAGATCGCCGATTTTTCTCTTTCCCAACAACTACTGTCGTGGGCTTTGTCCGTACTTTGTGCTGCGCTCTCTGAGCGCGAAATTGTCCTTTGGTCCTTAGTCGCTTTCTTGCTTCCATCTCTAGCTGCAACTCTTCCAGACTGAAGTAAAGATTGCAGTGTTTCCTTTACACTTGGAGGAAACAACAAAGACATCACTGCCTGCGAAGACTAGGTCAGAGCAAACTTTCAGCTAACAGTTGAGCTGATCATTCATAGCCACGCCTGCCAGGAGCATGTCAGAGCATATCAGAGCTGGCTCGCACTTTGAGTGCTTCCTCGTCTATTTCTGTTTCTCATACGCAGTCCTGCCAAGTGCTCATCAGAAGACCTGTTCTTCTCTCGGTCCTGTGTTTCAATCATTCGAAGTTTGTCAGCAATCACTCATACCCAGGCCTCTGCTAACTTGGCATTTGCCAAATTTGTCATAACTTAGTCTATTATGGCATCAGCCAATTTTTATTTATGACAAATATGACACTAATTTTAATTTGCTTGAACTGCTTATAATGTATGCTTACTAGAGTGACAATATCATTAAGATATATACTCATCTTTCTCTTAGGTAATCATGGAGAAATCACCCTCCACACACATAGTTTCAGTATACACAGTTTGGAAAATCTAACTTCAAAAGTAATCCTTGGTTCATCAAATTCCACGAATTCTGGCATTTGATCCACTGTTTTGCAGAGTATTTCTTCTCTTTCTCATTCTATCAATGAATACATTCTCATAACGACACCATACGTGAAGATCTTCAGCCCATAGTCAAGTTCGTGAGAGAGAGATTAAATGGCGTTCTGCATTTCTTTGAAGACATTTCATCAACGTCAACAGCGAACAAGAGAGAACAAGAACGAAAGGAGACTTGGACTTCCATTCTTATTTATGGCATCACGCAAAATTATTTATGACAAATATGGCATAGCACCCCCAAATGCCATATTTGAAGAGGCCTCTCATACCTCATACATGTACCAAAGCAACACTTTAAAGACAGAGGGAGAGGGAGAACGAGATAGAGATCGACAGAGACAGACGAACCCAGTTAGTGTTAAGTTTGATCAATTCATAAGACAAGATATCAAGAAGTCTTGTTGCTGATCACTAATACAGTTGAGGGCTTTTCAGGAGCGATAATTTGCTTACTGACCGTATATCAATCTGAGTGTGCTCATCGATACAAGGTCAATGTCTGCAAAAGTAGGCCCGAAATCTCGAGAACGACAAGCCGATTGCTGGCCTCGGCTTCGTATTGGAGTTGACAGGGGATTGGACGCATTAGTAAATAAATGGGAACACGGGACGGACAGGAGAGCCATCAACGAGCCGCAAGTAGTAAGCTGACAGTTGACTGTCAGCCTTTGCTAAAGAGTGAATGCTACACATTGACCATCTGAATGCGGTCTTCCACTCACAATCAGTTTGCGTTCGAGGGAACTCGAGCAATTATCATTATTATAGTCCTGTTCTCCAGCAAAAAGGCGTCTACTGCATCACACCTTCGGCCGTGGCGGGACCCATCTATGCGCATCCGTCCATTATATATCTTCCGTATTCCATGTAACCCTCGGAGTCCCTACGTGCTTCAGAACCAAGAAATCTAGTTCCAAAAACGGTCAGCAACTTTCAAGTGCCTTTGTCTTCGCCATTACCACCCCTCAGTCACCGTCAACCAAAGTCTCCGGCAGCTGACTTCGTTGAGGAAGCACAAAACTGTAATGTATCACCATCTCGAGAAATCTCGGGACCGGCATGTCAAACATGTGAAAAGAGCATCTCTGCGATTCATCCTCTCCGGTGCAACAATTGCAGGTGTACTGCATGGCGAACCATTCCTACCCCTATCCGTAGACACATAGAAAACCAAAGCCTGAAAAGCAGTTGTAAAGATTATGGGCTCCCAGTGAAAATAAAAAATAAAAAATCTGCTTTACAAGAACATGGTGGGCGAGAAATGAAGCGAAGAGGTTAACGGAGTCTCAGTTCGGTCGGAGCAAGTAGCTGGGTACTAGGTTAAAGTATAGCAGTTTGCACACCTCCCAAAGTGCGTAGCAGTGCACAAGTGTGGACTCCTTACGATCAGTCTAAAGACGGTTGCCCTTCAGGAGAGTGACACAACAGCAACACGTTAAATATGGGGGAGTTGTCGTTCTCAGGTATCCAAACGAGTAGCCTGAATCTGAATCCAAAGTCAATCAATCAGTGCATCAGTGTCCCCAGAATGCCATAGCTCTTATGAAGACTAGCCTGCCCTGGTCTCCACTACCTTTAATTGTCGCTTATGATGGCTTTTCTTTTGTATCTTTGTCATTGGCAAACTGCATCAGAGAGTCTTGCAGTTCAATGGGAGGGCAGGAAGAAATAAAGTCGTATTAATATTTCATGGGAGGGAGAAACTTTACCAGTAAACGATGGGTCACTTGGACCTGACTCGGGCGACTTGGACTTAGATTTGTTTGTGGGGCACACAATCACACACAGAGATTCCATGGAAGCAGTCCATCCTTCACTCAGCAGGACTGTCGCCTGATGCCTGCTTGGGACCTGCTTTTGGTGCGTCTGCATGTCGTCGAATTTGACACCAAGCATGGTCAGCATAAACAAAGGTGTTGCAAAGGTGCAAAAGTTGCGCAGACGAGAAGGCGTCCTTCGACTTATTGAGGGAAAATGATGAAAAGTGGTCAGCAGCAGTGCCAGCAGTCTCCGAATAATAGCAATAAAAACGTTTTTATGCGACAAGTAACCGATGCTTTATACGCCTGAGGACAAGGCGTTAATGCTCACACTGAGTCTCGTAAGAAAGACGTGAACAGAGAGGAGGAGGGAGGCAAGAGAGAGGAGAAGAGAGACACTGGTAGTGAGACTAGACTACTACGGCCAACAGCTGTGTATACTCCTCATGGTCCCACTGGCTAAAGGAGTAACGGCAGTTCAAGTCAGCCAGCCGTACTAGTGCTCCGCGGAGCACGCTCAATGATGAGCACGGGGAAACCTCTCGATGAGCAGATAGGAAAACAAGTGTTCGTACAAGGACCAATCACTCAATCATGAGCGGAGAACCCAGAGAAGAACGAGACGCATTACATGCTAGAAGACCAAGCCTGCAACACGAGAAAACAAAACTGGAAGATCGAAATTCAGGTTCAGAAAACACAATTTTTGCAACCTTGTTTGTTGTTCACCGCCAGTGTCTGTCAGATGCATGCTCTGATATCCCTTTCGTGAGAAGTGACAACAATTAACCATTTCATACGCCTCGGACAGTACAGGAGTAAAGCGGGGAGTATTTTTCTTCAATCGCCTTGTCGACCGAATCCACGAAAACACTCTAGCCATTGCTGGAACTTTTGCAGCCAACTGAAGTTGGAGTAATTGCAATTGAACGCAGAGAAAGCTGTGAGCAGCACGGTACAGAAATGTGCGAGCCGTCAGGACACGAATAATTAGAGTATAATAAAAACAGGAGGTCCAATCCAACCCGTTTATTAGACATTGAAGAACCGTATACATGGGTATCTACAAATGTGGCCCATAGAAGGGCTGCTTGGGTTTCACAATTTTACTACAGGTATGATAGTTTCTGGCTTTTCTTCTATACATTCGCAAGAGTCCGAAAAACCGCTTGAACTCCTGGCTGAACTCTTCTGCGTCTTCTGCTTTTTAAACTTCTCCGAATTAGTAAAAATCTCTATCGGTCGACCGATCGATCGATCAAACTATCTACAACTCAAAGACTCTGTAATGATGAGGACGGGTCCGGATCCAAAGATGACTTCTTTTCAAATCTATCTCATGTTTGCTAAAAATCATATGGACAAGGGCAATAACTTATACAGTCTACAGCCTACGATATGGCGCATGTTGCAAAATGGCACATGCACGAACGGAATCTGTCACTCTCAAAGAATCAACAGTACGCAGATGGCTACTCTCCGAGGAAGCGGCGCAGTCTCCTTCTCCTTCGTCGTCGTCAGTCTATCGTCGTGATGGGTTACACTGTCCTTGTACCCCGACGTTCTATAAGGTCCGAGAATGTCGTACTCGTCGGTGGCACCAACATCCTGTAATTCTTGTTACACAAGTCGATCATGATCATGAATGTTGCCACGCCGAGAACAATCTCCCATCCCTAGACATTAATAAGTAGTATGTGATGCGCTATGAAGGGCCGACGTAGTCCAACCCACAGCTCGGTCTCCTCCTTATTCCGAACATCATCTCTTCTGTCTTCATTGTTAGCTCAGCTTCAATCATCCATTCCGATTCCTCGTCCGTTCTTTCATTTAGTGATTGCATGCTACATTCCTACCGAAGTCCTGCTGGTTCGATTGGGGAGCCAATGTACAGATGGATGGGTTGCGAGGAAAATACCGACCCAAAGAATGGGAATCTAAATTCAGTGGAATTTCTGCTTGAAGGACTCGGTCGTCGGCGGGGCATTGCCAGCGGCATCTGAGAGCTTGGCGGCCTTGGCCGCTGCAGCAGCTGTGCCCAGCTTCTGCAGCTCCCAGGTGCCGAGAGTCCTGTGCTCGAGGCCATACGCATGGATGACCTGGTTATCGGCGAAGTGCAGCGAGCGATCCATCTGCTCGAAGCAGTCAGTGCGATTGTAATTGCACATGTTAGGATGCGAGCACGGCTGGCAGCCGGCGAAGTGCGTGACGAGGGGCCACCTCCAGTCTCCGAAGCCGGGGTGGTGCTCTTCCATCAGCTTCTCGAAGTTAAAGGTGATGGAGTCCCAAGAGCCACTCAGAGTGTAACCATTCTCGAAATTGACCTTGGACGCGTACTTGGCCTTCTGCGTGTTGAGCAAGTGGATGATGGCCGACTGATCGTCAGCCTGCATGTCGGGCCGATCGGTCAGCACCTTGGTGAGCATCCTCCCCGCTTCTTCTCGCACGGCCCCCTCGGGCCCAAATGGAATGATGGCGTCGAAGAAATCCAGCGACCACTGGCAGTTCCGAACAATCATGTCCCCGGCATTGAGCCCGATGAAGCTCTTCTTCTCGAACACCATCTCCTCGGAACCCCACATGATCAGATTGTAGTCCGGGTAGCTCTGCAGCGGCGGCTCGAACACCATATCCGTGAACACGGCGTCGCTATCCACCCACCAGATCCACTCGGCCTCGGGATGCGCCAGCATCATGGTCCGGATCACGGGGATTTTCCCCCACCACCCTGTCAGCTGCTTGTCCAGATTCGCCATGTTGTAGAAGAAATCCATGTCGTGCATTCGCGCGTAGTCGATCTTATTCTTCAGGGCCTTGAGCAGGAAGTGGGTGCCTCGGACCTCGTGGCATTCGCGCGGCCCGGAGCCGCTGACGAGCAGCACTCGCGGCTTCGCCCCCTTGCGATCGCGCGGGTCCTTGGACCGCTTCAGGAACGCGCGGCGCTGCAGGTCCCAGTCCGAGACGTTGGGGTAGATGTGGTACGGGACGCCTGGCGCCAGGGCCTCCTGCAGTTCCTCGTGCAGGGGCTTCACCTCCGAGGTCTCGAGCCCGCCGTCGACCTGGAATCCGAGCGTCCGCAGCACCTGGTCGTCCGCGAAGGCGAAGGTGCGGTCCATCTGCAGCTGGCAAGCTTCCCAAGGATACTTCCCGTAGCCTGCAATGTCCGAGCACGGCTGGCATCCCGCGAAGTGCACACAGAGCGGCCAGCGGTGATCGCCGAAGCCCGGGTGCGACGAGGCCCTGAGCTCCTCGAATTTCCCCGTCAGCGTCGGCCAGTGCCCGCTCATCGTGAAGCTCATTTCGAGCGCCGTCTGGGCTGCCCACCTGCGCTTCTCGAACACCAGCAGGTACGCCAGGCTCGACTGGTCGTCGGCTGGGAAATTCGCCGGGCGCTCCGTCAGCACCTCGGTCAGGAACTTACCGGAAGCCTCGCGCGCGCTTGCCACGCCCAGCGAGGCCCAGGCGTCGAGCAGATCCAGCGACCACTGGCAGTTGCGGATGGCCATGTCGCCCGTGTTGATCCCGATCCAGCTCTTCTCGCCGTACATTTTGCTCTCGTCCCCGTAGAGGAACAGGTTCTTGCCCGCAGCCGCGTACTTGTCGAACGGAACCTCGAACGTCATGTCCGTGATCCACGCATCGCTGTCCATCCACCAGAACCAGTCCACCTCGGGATGGCTCACCATGAGCGAGCGCAGTAGCGGGATTTTGGTCCACCAGCCGTCGAAGTTCGGGTCCGGGCTGGCCATGTTGTAGAAGAGCTGGATGTCGTGCAGGCGACAGTAGTCGACCTTGTTCTTGGCCGCCTTGATGTAGATGTAGTTGCCGACGGACCGCGAGCACGGGGTCGGGCCCGTGCCCGTGACGAGCATGACGCGCGACTTCCTGCCCACCGGCGCGCGCAGGTTGGGGCGATTCCGGGCCGCCGCCGCGCGCTGCTTGTCCCAGTCCGCATGCACGGGCTCGAAGGCGAACGAGGCCGTGTTCCAGCGCTTGTCGCGCAAATTCACCAGCGGCTTCGTGGCGGCCTCGCTCCTCGCCTTCTGCTTCTTGTGCAGCGCCACCAGGCGCAATTCCTCGTCGCTCGCCTCGTCCAGCTTCAATTTCTTCTCCACCCCCAGCACCCCGTCGTCGTCGTCATCTGAACTCTTTGTCGAAGACGAGTGCACGGGGCTCTTCTCGTTCGCGAGCGCGTTGCTGGTGCGATGGACGATGGGGCCGGCCGGCTGCTGCTGCTGCTGCTGATGCTGCGTGGAGACGTCGGCCGGGGCCGAGAGAGTGGGTCCCCAGATTACGAGGACTGTAAAAACTGCGGCCACGATCGCGAACAGGAATTGCCAGAATCCCTGCTTGATTCCGGCCCGAGGCACTTGAAACAACCTGCTCGCGATGGATGCCAAGCTCCAGGATGTCCTCAATTTTACGTTGTCTTTCATGGCTGCAAAGTTCGCTGCCACTTCTGCTTCTTCTTCGCGGTTGCTTCGGTCTCGGAGACGGGACCGGAAGCTCAGAATTACTGCTGCCTGCTCTAGCTGCGTTGGGACCTGCAGCACAATGCGACCGGAAGCTCAGAATTACTGCTGCCTGCTCTAGCTGCGTTGGGACCTGCAGCACAATGCGTTCTACTGCTTCTGTCAGCTAGCACTGTTTTGATTTCTATTTCTCAATGTGCGTCTCGTACGACGCTGGCGGGGTTTGGTTGGGGCGTATGTCATTTATGTCCTCAACCTGAGCCCCACTGCGCCGGCGGCTGTTGGTGCAGCCTGCTCCTCGTCCTGCTGCTGCTGCTGCTCCAGCTCCAGCTCCAACTCCAGATCCTGCCCCGTCCGGTCTGGTCCGATCAGACCCTCGATCGCGACGGAGCACGAGCGACCGCGCGATGCGAGAGGGCACGAGGAGACGAGAGAGAGAGAGAAAGAGAAAGAGACAGTCACAGAGAGTGTGAGAGAGAGAGGGAGGGAGGCGAGCAGCACACCGCTGAGATACTTGGTTGTACAATTGTGCACGGCGGTGAGAGCATGGAGGGAGTGAGGGATGGCTGGCTGGATCACTGGCTGGCTGCTCACTGGCTGACGCTAGGCCTGCGCAGGCAGAGACAGACAGAAGCCAATGCCAAAGCCCCCAGCTCGGCTCGGCTCGGCTCAGAAGGACGATGAAGTCAGAAGTGCAAAGCTGCACATTCCTTCCTTGCAATGCCTGGGTCTAGACGGGGCTTATATGCAGGGCCGATCTCGGCTTCAAGGTTGCGGGCATCGAGTTCAGGGCCGCCTGTAGAAGTAGGCTGGGTGATCAATCTCCTCCTGTAATTCGTTCCGACTGTGCACATCTCTGTGAGCGGTGTACGATCCTGTGCGCGAGCTTTTGGGCTATAGGCGGGCTATAATCATCCGCGATGGCCGGCATGATGCGGGGATCCGGATGGATGCAGGCCTCGGTGTGCTGGCTGATCGTGCCAGAGCGCGAGCGACTGCACAGTAATGCGTGCTAGAGTTTATGTAGGTTAGAAAGGGCTCAACGTAGCAGAGCTTTGGACTTGCTCGCTGCGTGAGTATATTCAGTCGAATCTGGCTCGAAGGGAAAGGGAGAGTGCAGGCCAGTTCTAAGGTCCGGGCATCATCTACCAACCGGTTTTCCCTCCTTCATTATGGTGGCCATCCATCGGACATGGTGTTAAGCTTTTCTCCTTGTTCCTTCCTCCCTTCCTCCCTCCCTCGTGGCCTCCTGTAAAGGAGAGAATTAGCGAGGGCGAATGTGCTGTTGTATCTGACAGGTGAGAAAGAGAGGTTATAGATGTCAAGCATAGGACGGTACGCGGTCGTGGGCGTGTGTCTCAGTGGGCGTTTGTCAGAATGCAACCAACGACGGGAATTGTAATGGCTCCTATTAACAAACTTTAGCATCTCGTTTCCATGAAAAGCTCCGCTGCTTTTGACCCTCCGCTAAGCCCAACAATCGCTGCTCTACAACCAGCCCAACAGTTCTCACCACCACCAGAACCACTAAGTTAGTCCCCAACCATTTGGACTGACGATCTGACTTCTGTACCCTGAGATTCAGGGGTTTAACAACAATCGTCCTAACTCACTCCCACTAGAGGACGGACTGCAGCTGAAATGAGACCAGAAGGAAGGAGGGAACATAAAGGAAGAAATAAATAGCAGAGAAGAGCAGCAGGGATCATCTGGGACCTCCGGATCAAATAATTCGGCAGAGTACTGCTTTGTGGACTGTCTCTAGAAGTGGCGAGAAACACTGGCCGTGCCTTTTATTGAGTGAGCAAATAATGGTGGCTCGACAAGCGTTAGCTTGACTCGTACCGCAAGGGCAAAGGACCACAGCCAATTGCTTCACGTTTCCAGACAAGCGTTAGCTTGACTCGTACCGCAAGGGCAAAGGACCACAGCCAATTGCTTCACTTTTCCAGACCGCCATAGACTCCACACTAACCACGCCTCGGTATACCATGGGGCCTCGTACCTAGGGCAGCGGGGGAAGGGGGAGGGAGGGAGGGAGGGCGACCCTATAGGGGTATTGGCAGGGCTAAGCACTGACTCGACAGGAGAGAGCTAGAAAAGATTCGGCCCAAAACGAGTGAGGGCTCGATCTGACTGACATTCAATCAGTAATATCATAATCGTGTGATTCCTTGGAAATCGTACGTGTGTGCGTTGACACCTTCCTCTCTTCCTTTTCCGGATCTGCTCTTCCGATTGACCTGCATGTTCTGACAGCTGAGTGCTCCTTGAGACAGATGAGAGCTGTAGCTAGCTCAGACAGTGACAGATATCGTTAACAATCTCTATAAATCGTCCATCCTGAGGGTCTTGGGAATTATCCCATGGATCTCAGCATTATCCTCGCTTCCAACCAATCCCTCCCTCTTTCTCAGCCACGATCGGAGGCTCCAAGTGGTAGTACAGCAGCCCAGCTCCCACTTCAAGTATACTTTCAAGCCCTTGTTTACGAGCTCATTACGAGCTCCATTTCCCGACCAGACCCACAAGTGACATCGTCACCCGCATAGTCGAATCTGCCAGGCCAGGCACTTCAGGACAAGCCAGATATGGGCAATGGAACAAGAAATTTTGATTGTCGAGATTATTTCCAAGTCCACCTCCTAATCTGAAACTCAGATTCAGATCCTGACTCCGACCCTGACTCTCCACAGGACAATCGTTGCAGTCGTAGTAGTTGTATGCCGACGGAATTCTTCTTCAAGCTCGTGTTTCGCATACCCACTCTTCACGTCTCCATAAAATTGGCTTGTCGTGACGTGCAAGGAAGCGCAGAGTTCAGATAGGTTGCTCTTATCAGTAATAATTAAATAGTTCTGTATTCAGATTGAAGACATGAATCGTGGAACTGAAATCTGTAGTTGATTAACACATGCTTGCTTTGTCATGAGCTGCCGACATTGAAATTCAACCACTCCGTAAGAGATTTGGAGCGAGATCGACTAAGAGATCATGAGTCTAGTAAAAATTTCCCCTTCTGCCAACCGACAGAAGGAAGTGGAAGTAGGAGCTCTGCAAGATCGATCTACTACAAGGTGAGTGCAACACCATCGAAAGCGATGTCACCCACTGCTATTGCGGGAGTTGCACGATGTCTTTTTCTTCGCAATATAATAGCGTAAGGTTAAATTTAAGGGTAGGAGAAGATAGGGAACCAGAGTATCAGCGAAATCTTAACTGGTCGGCCGTGTCTGCAACGCACAATGATTGAGTCCATATAGTGGAATCGGGATCTTTGTTTTATTCTTCAATCAGGTGGAACATTTTTGAGTAGGTTACTGTCTGGGCTCCATCCTTCCTTGTCCCCCTGTACTATCACCGAAGCGACTGATGGAACCCATACGTCGCCACGGCGAATGTAACTTCACGTCCAAATATTATGATCGATTTGAAAGATTTGAATCTAACGACTTGGCGGTAAGAGACTCAGAGTCAACAAGACTCCACAACTTATCATACGAAAGCGCGATCAGAGCTCAGCTCAACATGAAATATCATTGGAATACATATCACAGGAGAGGCTCAATATGCCGAGGGAACCTTAAGAACAAACACTTTTGTTAGCAACACCATTAAAAAATCCGCAAGCTCGATCGCCCTCACGTACTGTCAGTAAAACCATCGAGCTATTTAAATTTTGCTTTTCTTATCACTTCTGCTGTGACAGTACCAGTCCAATGTCGAAGATTAGCACGAGAGAAAACAATAATGATCCCTAGCCTATGTTCCGGAAACATTCCATCAAAGGCATTGGACAAATGGATACTAGCAGAGCATGCAGCCCACTGTCGAAGACTAATATTAGATCCTGGGGCATTTCGAAGCTCGTTGGGGACAAAGCTATGTGTTTGCGTGTGTGCGTGCGCGCTAACTAAGGTTCGCATCGCAGTGAGAAGTGGCATGTTTCTTCTTGCTGGCCACTTGCTGGATGTATCTCGAGCCAGGTCTCGAGTTGCATGGATGTAAATTAGATATACCTTGCACACTGGTGTTAAGAGAAACAAGTTGACTATGAACTGAGCCAAAATCTGGAAAAGTTGAACGATGTTTGTTTACCTCGTTGTACTTTTGTGTCGAGAAAACTACTAACTTTGTGATGAACGTCAGGAGTAGAATGTTTAATTACCTCAAATCTCTCATGCCGGAATGCGTATGCATCAGCCTACGGAATAGTAAAAGCAGAGCTAGAACTCTCTGTCTCGGACCATGTGAAGTATTTTGAACTTCGAGGATCCGCGAGGAAGTATCTTGGGTCCTCCATAATACATACTTAATTGTCACCTAGACATCGTCAATCAAATCTCACATCTTGTTGGTTGTGACATACTTTTCTCTATATTTTTGTTCTTGCTTTTGTTTTTGGTTCAAGTTTTGCAAGTCTATGATTCTTCTTTGACTAATTTTGGATCTACTATAGGTGCTAGACGGAGCAGTTAACAGCTTTGGCGGAAAGGAGCAATCTAGACGAGAAATATTAAGAACATTCAGGCTGAGATTTGTCCAGTGGAAAGGACGGTCTGTTATTCTTTTACTTGTCTAAGTGTATTTCTATTGTCATGATGTCCTACGCCACTTCCCTAAAGAGGTACATACACACACATTATTGCTTATTCACTTCATTAAGTTCCATGATATAGCTAGTGGCAAAAGATAAAATTTGATTGTCTACACCCGGTTCTACCTACAAGGAGATGGTAGCAAGGATTCGATGTATGCTTTAGAATTTAAAAAGGAAGAATCTATAGCTTTCATACTCCCACTTTGTAGCTAGTGAATGAGTACTATGTTCAAGTTCATGTTGACATGTCCGAAGGGCAAACAACCACATCAATGTCAAATGCCAGGCACTATCTACTCCTACCTAGGTCGGGCTCAGTCAAAGCCTACCCGTCAATATATGGTTCCGAAAGCCTCTCAACAGCCTGCAACAAACAGCTATCGATTTCTTTGGCTTACATAGGATGAAGAGATTCTTACATTTAATCTCTCATGGTAGTAAACACTAAATGCTATTGTCACAAAAGTTCACAATTATAATTTAATCGATTCGTGCACTTTTTTTTCTGTCGCTACTACTTCTTCTTCTTTCGGTTGCTCTTCGAATAGAACTAAATTTTAGAAATCTCCAAAAGGTTGGTTATACTTTGAGTGTTACAAGTGGAGAAACTTTTGATCTCATGTGATCACGATGCTGACCTCAAGAAATGTGCAGTGACTGGACTGGTATGAACTCTCACGTGGATGATCTATGCAAGATGTGTCTGCAATTGTCATATGGCACTGGCCTCCAAAGTCCAGAGGTTTATAAAATTTCCAACTGACAGAAGTCTAAAAGGACGACTTCGTCAAACTGATCATAGTGTAGCCCACTTAATAATGTTCTAGCCTACGTTCACGTAATGAGCTTTGCCTTCCACGATAAAGATGTTAGCACTTAGAAGTTTGTCTTCGTTGCCTTCACGTCGTCATGAATATGGAACCCGTACTCGCACAGCAATATGTTCCTACAGTGCTTGATCATGGTGGTTGTGTCGCTATTCGATTCATGATCAATCTAAAACAGAGTCAACTCCAAAAATGACAAGCCCGCTGGAATTAGAAATGTCATTTGGCAGAAGAGATTCTACAATGATATGGGGTAAGAATGAGGTATATGTTCCCGGTAAGATGTTTGTCGAGCAAACACGCATCATTGATGCGTGGATCATTGATGCGACATCAATGATCCACGAACACGAGGCACTGGAAATACTCCACATCCTTTCCACTTCTAAAGAACCATCCCAAAATCCTTGCCATTAAAGCTCCATTTTCCTGAACATTAGGTTGGCACTAGTAGAGCTCACTTTTCGAGGAAGGAATGGAAACAGGACACTTGTCCTAAAGTATCTTGGATACCAATAACGGCCACTGTGCCAAACCACCTCATCTTTACTGTACGCCTGGAATAATTTGTCGCACCTCCAATCTCCAAATCGTGATCTAAAAAACAGGATTCCACAATTAGCCAACACAATACACAGCGATGTCCATTGGTTACAACTGATCGAACATCATGGCTTTAGGTTACTGTAAGAAGCAGGTGCAACGCATCAGCACTGTTGGAGACCTCTTGGGTGCAGCAGCCATTGCTGTGGAGCAGAATGTGGAGATTCCAGAGAGACGAGAGCAATATTACGAAACACTCGATGAACAAGTCGCTCAGAAAGGGGGGTCCTTCTCTTCTCCGAACGCGTTCGCATGTGACGTCATGAGAGCTCATGCCTGGCAACTCCTGTGATGGCGAAGTAATGCATGCGAAGGAACATGGACTTAGTCATGTCTTCCGGACAGACTTGCTCCGGAACCCAGATAAGAAAATGCATGTAATGAAGACGAACTCACTGGATTGCTGTGCGTGTCGGCGTCCACTTCGTCGCCTTTGATCCCATGCCCATACCAGTTTTTGAGGATGCAGGCAGCGGGAAACAAGGAACCTCTGGTACATAGTCCGTGTCGTCGTCGATCTAGAGTGGAGAAAATCTCACTTTTTGATAAACCATAACATGGATCGATGGGTGTCACAATAACATTCTTCCACATTCTGAATTTCAGTTGTACAGTAGCACTGGGGTACGAAGCACAAGTATCACTCAGCTCCCGATGAAGCTCTGGAAACGTTGTAGCATGCACAGAGGTGGTCACTGGATTCTGAACCTGGACTGGATCCGACACCTCCAAGTATGAGGATGACTTGTAATCCTAAAATCATGACAGATCGGTATCCTCTCGTTCCAAACATGACCATGACGTAGAACAAATTCCATAACTGGGCGTTTGGGCATCCTGATTTAGTGGTGTCCATACAGCCACCTACCATTCCATCTTTCTCTCTTAGCAGCTTGCAGAGAATCTCTCCTGAGCAAGGCCCATGAAGGAAAGCCGGTTCCATTCATGAATAGGGAACGAATGTACTATTAGTCTGCACGACCTGAGGGCTGGGTCCGATCAACGATGATATTGCCTCAAAATTTTAAAATTTAATTGTTTTAGACAAACATTCTCCCTGGTGAACAGTAGACAGCCGCAGATCTCGATCCCTGGTCCTACTGTCAAGCACGTGGAATAATTTGCTTCACCTCTCGTTGCTCATAAAATAAACACCGAGCTTATATGTAAATCGTTTCTCAAACCAGCAAATGGGAAGGTGGCTGGTGCTGCGCGCATTGCAAACACAGGCTTGGAGCTCGATGACGAGAAGTCAGGAACATGTGCAACCAAGTGGAGTAGATCTAAGTTTCTTTCTCTGTGTTCCCCAAATTGTGAGTATTCGAATCCGGTTGAGGCAAAGGACGAAATCGGACCGAATCTCTGGGTGTAACTAATTCGTCCGAAATGGTCTGACACTTTGTAGACGTTCGGCTCAAGCCAGTGTTCTAAAGCTGGCATGTCCTCTTGTTGGGTGCATATACGGATCAAAAAAGGTGCAACAACGTTTTCTTAACAACATGCTTGATTGACTGGGCGCTCAAGGCGTCCAGTCAATCAAGCATGTCATACTGGGCAACCTTTGTACCTCCAGAATACAGATCGTACTGTTTTCGGCTTGAAGCTCTAGCCAGACTGCGAGAATCTTCAGATTGTTCAGATCCTGATGATTAGAATTACATGAAATATACGGAGTACTGTACATGCAACTCTGCAGCGTTCGAGACAGAGACAGAGAACACAAGGCAAGGAGGCCCTTGTTTTACCTCGGTCCAGGATCGTAGGCTGGCTCCGACTAACCCACCAGCAGAAAAACAACAACTCTGAAGCATAATTTATCCAAAGCACCTGGAATTGTTCATCACAGCGATGCAGAGATTTCATTCCAGACTGTACGGTTGGTTGTTGGCTTCACAGAAAACAAAACAGAGCTCTCTGGGACTTCACAAAAATCTTCGAGAAAGGCTAGTATTTTCAGTTTTGAGCCAGCTCTCCGTCGCTTTTGGAAACAGTGGAATTTTATCAACAAGCCATCCATCGGACTATCTTCGCAAATTTGCTTGGAATGATCCCTCCACAAACTCATTGATCAAGAAGCTGAAAAGATAGCAGACAAACTCTATGAAACAAGCAGTTCTGACACAGTTGGAGTAGGCTGACATTCTGGGGTTTTAAATTGGACGCATCTGATTCATGTATTCTATTCTTTCATGTTTTCGAAACAGATGAATTGTTAGATACATTTGGAGACTGTTGCGACTGATCTGTATCCAAGGTATGAGACCAAATCTGAATGCGCAGATGCTTTTATCTACTCTTTGAGTGAAGAGCTTAGAAATCATCAGTTTGCATCTTTGCCGAAACATTGGATGAGTACCGGAAGACATTGCAGCCGATTCAAGTTGCAGTCTCTGTTCTGGAAATATGATTTATCCAGAATCTGGAAACTTGATAACCGTACCAGACTTCCAAAATTCGATTGAATCATTGTGCAGGACGATGATTCATCACATTGTGCTTCACTTTTTCAGATACTCCATTTGATCATGATGACTTTGGCAATGATGCCCATTGCCTAGTGGGTTTGCAGAAATCATCTCCAACAATCCCTTCGTGGGTGGGTAGGGGGCATATAAATGTTAAAAGGCAGACCAATAGCCTGCCGTGAATCAGGTCCGGTTTCCAACTTTGTGTTATTCCATCTCGCCAAACATCAATTGCAGAACGACCAAATGATGAAAGAACAGATTTATCTTCAAGATTCATGTCTCCGCCTTAGTAGTCTAACCTTGACGTCTTGACTGAACTCATCCCTTTTGAACACAATAAAAACGTGCGTCTACCGCGTACGAAGTTTAGATTGTAAGAAGCTACTCGTGAGTATCGGGTTTTTGCAGATTGATATTATCTCTGCTCTGTCACACAATGTTTGTGTGAGATAGCAGATGTTATCCCACATCTCTTTCTTTTCAATCAATTATGAGTTTTTCATTAAATAGAAAATTATGATGACTCTTCCACACATTGGCGGTGAGGCTAGCCCTGAATTATACCAGTCCACAGCAGCAAGGACACCCCAAACGTCTTCAGCATTCTCATTCTCTTCGGTATTTATTCTAGCTATAGTTTTTATACGAGATAGTTACATGCTGTGTCATTCTCGTAAGTGCAGTATGGTTTTATAGAGTGCCACGAGGGCTTGAACAAAGAACAGTAAGAAATTTATATCAGGGCTGAATTTGTTAGCGAACAGGCCTCTTCTAAATCGATGAAATAGATGCAGGAAGTTGTACACACCCGCATCGTGTACAACATTCTGTGAAGTTGTGCGCGTATATTCACCTTGAGCTTTTTGTCAGAGATAACCTGCTCGTTTAAGATGTCCTCGTTCACATGATTGTCTCTCAGCTACATGCTGTCTATGGATAAATGCATGACTCTGTTGCAGTTGACTAATCTTTATCTATCCTGAAACTGAGCTTCGTGCATATGGTTGATGAATTGACATATTTCCATGTGAATATGAAGGGATATTCCTGATGACTTGTACTGCTACAATATGTCCACAAATGTCCAGAAGCCAAAAGAATGTCTACGATTCTGTGTCTTGGAATTAAATATCACACAAAGTGTTTTCCTTTGTGTATAGTTCTGTTGGTAGGATGACCAAGAGCAAGTGAGATGTTCAAAAACTGTGCTGTATTTTCTTCCACGAATATTACCAACGATAGACAAGTCAGAAAACTACTATTGTATATGGCTGGAGGTTTCAATTGTTTCAATATGCAGTTCCAGACTGATTTGCAAACTGGATACTTTGCAAAGATTAGTAACCTTCTGTTGAAATCAGAAACGATTCATCTAGATTGCTCTCAAGATTTTAAGGAACCAATACCTGCCACAATACAATTGTGACAGTTGTATTGATTATGGCTCCTGTAGTTTATAGTGCAGGCAACTCCAACGATATGCATAATGACATTCAACCTTTTGAGCTAAATATGCGGGCTACATTACAATCAACCGAGTCCCTCAAAGATGACTATTACCTGAGTCACCAACGTTATGGAACCATTAAATTGCAATGAATGAAAATACTTATGCAAGGTGACGAGCAACCAAGATTCTATGAATTCATTTGTTTCTGTCACTGAATATATCGCACTCATTCCTTCCTGTACAATTCTGTGAGATTTTATCAGGGAAGTGGAAGTGCCAAATATCTGTTTTTGTATATCTCTATTTTCACAGGCATATTAGAGCCTATTCTATAGAGAAGTCTTCTGAAGAGCATAAGAGGGTAGAAGGAATGAATTGGATAGTTAAGTTGATGAACTACGGTTATTATCTGCAAATAGCATAAAATTAAAAGATGCAGAATTTGATGCTCTTCTACGAAGAGTATCTGCTCTGACCGGGACAATTCCTCCGCCTCCAGGCCCTCATACTGGAAATTTGTGAAAGTGATCCTGAAATAATTTTGATTTCCGCAATTTTGTTCGCCCAAGACTTAGACGCAATACACCTTCAGATTCCCTGTCAGACCATCATAGAAGCTGGAATAAAAGTAGTAGACAATATTTCGATGCGAATCAACTTCATATAGAGAATGAAGCATAGCCATCTCCACTTATTACATTAGTACGTTTTTAGTATGACAGGTGAAGTAATTTTGAGTGTATGGCCGTGAGTGCCTACGACAATTGCATTACATCTTCGGGACTGTACTTCTAAAAGATGGTGTGGATTGTAGATTGCAGCTTAGATGGTGTAGCTTCTAGATTGTAGTTTTAATTTTCCTTTGTTACTACTGTCATCCATTGATGCTAAATGACTGATCTTGTTAAATGCATCATGCTCGTACAGATCTCAAGGTCATGAGCGAGCAGAACCTGGAATTGTTTATGGTACTTGGCACTGCGTTAGAATAAAATTGTAGAAATACCTACAAGATGGTGAGCTTCTTTAGAGAATTTGTTGTTGAATGCCCCGAAGTAGTTTGTCACTTCGTGGCACTTGATTCAACTAGGATTGGAAACCCTTACTTGATGTAGGAAATCAACATCGACTTCTGCAGACCCAAGTATCAAGGTTTCTCCGAAAAACTGTGGAACAAATGACTTCGGCATAATTGGAAGTCGTGGGCTCTTTCAAGTGAAGGATTTTCTAGACTATTTCCAATGAACCGAACTAAGCTGTATTGATGTATTTTGCTGCTGGACATTTGTCTGTTGTGCTCCTTGTAGACAGCAGCAGGTCATCCTGGTGATACACTCTCTGGAGCTGGCTAGCTAGTAATCAATCACTAAGAAGATTTTTTCTGGACAAAGCATACGATCATCGGCCAGTCCACTCTCCAATCAGAAGTTAGATAGCCGGTGTGTCCTTGTGCTGGCTGGTAAACTTTGAACGCTGCATCAAAAATCGAAATATTTATTGGGTTTGTGTTCTGTCATTTCTAGATTCTGTCGGGAAATTTCGACAGGGCAAGTACGTCAGTTCCATCATCCGAAACATGGACGATCTAATGTCCAGAGCTTTCTGAGAGCTAACGAATCCTTGCAATCGTCGAAACAAAAGCTAACGTAAATGTGACTATCCTGATCGGAATGATTATAAGGAATGCAAAACACATGCTCGTCCATCGTTGACGTTTCTTGGTCACTGCCCTCTAAGCTTGAGTCATACGACATCTCAGTGATCAAGGAGTGCAGAGGAAATAAGTCCAGCGAGAAGATTCGAAGCAAAACAGAAGAAGAGAGAGCAGAAGAGGGGAGGACAGCCGCAAGAACCCTGTTTCTAAGTGGGAAAGGAGCCCACAAAACAAAAGGAGAAACAGAATTAATTTTCCACTCCGAAAAGCGAGTAGAAAAAACCGCTCTGCTTTCCTGATGGTCACTGTCTGCGCGTACAAAATCACCTCGACCTCCCTTGCTGGACGTACTATGCGGGATTGCACGATCGCAACGCTTTGCAGGACATGAGAAGTGTCCTTGTCATGCTACTACTTTTACGACCGAGACGTGATGATGTTCAGGAGAAATCTAGTGCCTCAGAAGTCAGTCGGTCTTCCTTGCTTGTTGTACAGCAGGCGACCAAAAGTTTAACAAAGAAAAAAGAAAGTATTAAAATGACATTGATTTTATTCACCACTGTGTGCAGCATGGGTTTTCCTTGGAATCGAGCTCATCATATGATATGGGGATAAAATTCTCCAGCTTAGAGTGGTACGTCATAGCTTAAATACCATTTAGACCTCATCTTGCTCGTGGGTCGCTCTCCTCACCGACTTTGATTCATGCTACGAAGAATCCTGAATCCTGTTCCACGTTGGAGACTTAAGTCAAGAGACCAGTACCTTGTGACCAGTGAGTGTCCTAGAGCAAAAGAAATTCTTCTCATAGTCTTGTACTTAAGCTGTCACAGTTCTCACATACATTGTGTTCGAACAAATCGTGTCTTCTATTTTACCTTCTTCGTGGTCCTGTAGTTGTTGGTTAGAAATGGCATGACCAGACTTCTTCTCCAAATTTAGGAAGGAGAATTTTGCTCTCTGAGCGTCAAAAGTGCCACATACTTTGCTTGATTCGATTTAGGTGCAAAACGTGTTCTCACTATAATACAGAAGAGAAGAAAATATAATGGACATGGGAATAATCCTCATGGCCTTTCCATTCTGGAATCCCAGGCGGATCAAATAAAATACTTAAACTAACGAATCACAACCGGAATACCTTCCCATGGATTGGGTGCCAACGGCTTGCTTGGAGCGGATTCCTTGAGAGAGTGTACGAAGGTAAGATGATCATGGTATTTACTCATGAAAAGAAGAATCAGTCAGAGGAAGATATCTAAAATGATTCAAATCCTTTCGGGTGCCGAACACCCACCCCATTGGTTTGTTTGTCCTAAAGCTGGCAACATTTTCAAGAGACTTCGAAGGGCCCTTATCACGGTTTGAGTGTGTCATACCCTTCACAATTTAGAGCCATGTAGGCTTGGTACTCAACCCCGGGCCGGATTTACTCCACTTTCCGTTCGAATATTTTTTAAAAAAATTTGGGATATAGCATCTAGAAAACGAAATAAGTACTAATTAACTCATTGATCTCCACGTTGTGAGAGGTGGAACTGTTAAGCACAAAATTGTTTTAGGTCCTAGATTTTTTGAATTTTGCATGTAGGTGGCACGTGTAGTAATGTGTTTTATGTTCTTTTCTTTCTTTTCCAAATTATATGTATTTTAATTTTTATATGTAATGTACTTAGTAATAAACAAAAATTCATCACGTATCAATTACTTTGAGTCAGAATTTGCAATGCGAGTGAAAATTGGTGAAGAAGATTGGAGATTCTACCATCTCATAATATAGGCTAACTAATGCATCTTATATTACGATATGGTCCATTTTGCAAACTTTTCATAAATAAGGTCATGAAATAAGGTTCTGGAGCGGCACATGAATAGAAAATAAAATAGAAATGTGAAATGTACGAATAGGGTTTTTTCAACTGTTAGCGAAATTTACAAACAATCTGAAAGTAAGATAAATAATTCAATATGTTGATGAATATAATCACATCTAGGGCATTTCTACAATCCGAGATATTTTTGGGTTTGAGGGGGAGGGGGGAGGGGGTTTCCGTTTGTAATCTGCAGTAGAACCATACAAGTGATGAAATGAGAAGGAGAAACTATCTTGATGAAAGTGGAAGAGTTTGAAACCAATCAATCACTTTTCAGAATTAAATTGACTGTTCCAAGGATAGCCGCGTAGATTCAGTAATTCAACAGTGTTGAAATATAGACCATGAAATCCAATATGTTCCGGATTTACTCAACACAGATTGTGATTTAAATTAAATCACAATCCTTTCTGTTTTCTTCAATTCATGCTTCAATTTTAACAAAACCTAAACAATCCGCATGAGAAGATGTACCACGGAACAACTATACAAAATCAAGTTTGCAAGGCATTTCGTGAAGTCAATGACAAAGTCTCTTCGTTTTAGATGATTGCTTGATGATTTGTACGTTGATTAATTGGACTCGACTTCTCACAAACAGGTGTTTTTTATGTGAAATGATTGAATATAGGACTTAACAATATTCCTCAAAATGTCCTCATGAAAATTCTGATGTGGGCTTTATTTTTTATCTGAAGCTATTTTTTTAAATTTTACAATGAAACCATAATATGACTTCACAAAACCCGTCTGGAATAAAATCTAGATGTATCATACGTTATATTCAAATTCATTAGTAAATAAAAAATTCAATTAATCAAGGAGGAACATATGAACATATCTCGATAAAACGAAAAAGAAATTTACGATTGGATTATATATGGACCATTCATTCCAAAAATAAAGCAATAAATCTTCTCTAAGATGATAATTAATAGATCTAAAGAAAATTTTTTTAGAGTTTTTTCCATATTTCCTTGTTATACTTTTATCTAAAGATATTACAAAAATATAACAATGTATTGTAATACTGTAATGTAATATATAATGTAATGTAATGTAATACTAAAAAAATCTTGATCGGTTAAGATGAATTTATAATAATATTATTATGATTTGATAATAATAATCTTATTTAATTTAAGATATGTATGAAGAAAATGCTTCTAATACTACCTTTTTAAAAAAGGATGAAGAAATTATAAAATATCATACCTATCAAAATAAAATTTAATAAAATTTCTATATTTAATACAATTATATATATATATATATATATATATATATATATATATTACTTATGATTACGCTAAATAATTAACCCATATAAACAATATTTAAAACTTTGACACATTGACAATTATCAATGTGAGAGTGACATAAAAATTACTCAAATATTTCAAAACAAATTTCTCACCTTCAAGTTTATTACGAAGCATATGAATATATTAAAAATAATTTAACATTTTTACTAGAAATAAATTATTCTATGTTTTTACATAGATTAATAACCCAATATAATCATTCTAGTTCAAATAATAAAATTACATATTACCAGTCAAATACCTGATTTGTTACAAAAATTAACAGTAATAAGTTCTTTTAATATTTGATATACAAAGTACTATTTATATGAGTAAAAAGAAAATCATATTTACTAATGCATCACAAATTTTTTGTACGTATACTTTTTTACCTGTAGTAGCGTAATATTAGCATTCCAAAAAAATCAGTACTTTAAAAAAATAGAATATGATAATTTCAATTATTTTGATGTTATTTCAACAGAACATGAATTATATGAATCTTTTTAAAAAAACCAAAAACCTTCATATATTTTTTTGAAATGGAGTTTGACATTGATTATACCTAAAGCGATTCAGATTGGATCAAAATTTATTCAATAGCAAGTATTTTGTAGATCATGTCATCAATTAAAAACAGAAACCAAGTATTTTTGTAGAATAATATAGATTTTAACAGAAGTTATGGACAAATCAATATCTTCATTCTGAAAATGAAGATAATATAACATACACTAAAATGTTGTAAAATGATTAAAAATTCAATTTTGTTTAATGCATATAAAAATGGACCAATCAAAAATTGAATTGTTTTATCATAATTTTTTTCTGCCTTTGAAAACTTATGTAAAATTTTTTTTGGAAATGTGATATATATAAATTTTAAAATCTAAATCTGAAATCTAAAATCAAACATCTGGTGTCATTGAAGAGTTAGAGTCAAAGCTGTTCATTACTTGTTGCTGATTTAACATTGAAGTATTTTGTACCTCACTACCAGTTCCATATTGTATGCCATGTTTCATATCAAGCTTGCGATTTTAGTATGAAATGGCTTTGTGCTTTTCAATATAATAACATAAGATAAATTGATAAAAATTTAGATTGTTCGATATTGTCATGAGTTTCATTTTTTTCATTTATTCATATTAAATAATGATAATTAGAAGCATCATCATGCTCATTCAATTTGACCGAAAGTAAATTTAACTGCTGTAGATCTTTTGGATTTTCGGGCGAAATTCCACGAAAACCGGTGATACAGGTGGGTCCTACTCCATGTTCCCCGTTTCCTTCAGTCGTTGTAGTGTTAAATTCATCCGTCTTCTTTTTTTAATCTAGCCGGCCGACTTTGCCTATTCAACTGAAAACATGCAAAGACATGATTCAATGTTGAAACAAAATTGGACAGCGGGTTTGATGCTAGTTTGAGTAGAGAGTAGAACCCTAGCAAGTTTCACCTGCTCTTCATGCACAAAGGGTGGGAGGAGCGAAGGAGCGACGAGTGTTGTTGTCGGAATCTGTTCCAACTTTCAGCGTGGATTGGGATCTGGTCCATGCCAATCCAGGAAGGGAGAGCAAGAGCTTGCGAGCTGAATGTTGTTGCAGATGAGAGGACTCTAGTGAACGCATGACTTTAAAATAAACCATAACTAAATCAGGATCATTTCAAATGGCACCTGCTGACAGATCACTTTCAGCCTAGAGAGAAAATGGGAGAAAAATTTGAAGGCCCAAGCGAGAAGTAGGAAACATCGCATAGACAATGATTCGGATACAGAAAATAGAATTCAGCGGAAGGATTGCACGAAACAATATTACACTAGACAAGCCAGGAGCTCTTCCATGCCAGAAGAATCCAACATTCATAGCAAGGGACCTTTGACTGCAGAGAGAGTTTAGGGTATCCTTCATAATCCTTCAGATCCCCTTCTTGGTCGTACAAAATGGTCGAACGATTTTATCAACGCCGGTAAAAAACACCGGAAACAAAGTCGTATACAGCAGGCTCATGAATATGAAACCAATGGCAAGTTGAGCGGAGGTTCTGATGGAAATAAGTATGAGAATGGCCTGACAAGTATAGTGAAAGAGGAAGTCGATTATCCTTCGATTGAACCAGCTGGAGCGCAGGGTGAAGACAATACGAACGAACAGCGGACGAGCCCAGAAAGGGCTGGTGCTTACACTCAAGGGAAAGATCTATGTGCGAATGCATCTGGAAGATCTTTAGAGGACTTAGCAGAACGCGCAGTTGGTGTTGCTGATCAAGAGACCGATATGGACTGCGACGATGAAGGCTATACAGACCTCGATATTGCTTCTAAAGAGGAGGATGTTCATTTGCCTCCGTCTAGTGGGACTCGAAGAGGTCGTCGGGTTCAAAGAACTACTTTGGTACCAGATGAGACTGATGCTGATGGCATGGATTGGGAAGGTGAAAACGAAGTGAGTAGGATTCCAGATAATGCTCCAGGAGATGCCGGGGTGAACCTGATGGAGCCTCTAGCAGCTGGAATTTATATGCTGGAAGCCATACGGGAAAAACGACAACACAGGGGAAGAGTCGAATATTTAGTCAAATGGCTCGGATACCCCGAGAGGGAAAACACATGGGAGCCTTACGAGAATATTGCTCATTGTGGTGATCATTTGGAAGACTTTGAGGAGAGTTGCAAATCAAGACGCAAAAAGAGGAAAGGATCCTACAAATACCAGCGAAAGAAGAAAAAAGTCAGCAGATCGAGACCAAAAGCAGATGATTTTGACGAAATCGCAGATGAAGATAGAGGAGAAGATGATGATTCAGGACAAGGTAATCTGCACTCCGACCAAAACGATCACCATTTGGAAACCGCAGATTCAGTAAGATATCAACCAGATGAGGCCGAGCAAGCCAATATGGAAATCTGCACTCAAGATAATATTTCTGGAGGTATTGGAGCTGCAACTGGAGCTTCAGATCCGATGTAATGCCAAGTTGCTACGAAATATGTGGTTGAAATGCTGAAGGAGAAAGGACATATATGTTCGTGTGTGTGATGGACATGAGGTTCCCAAACATTCATGTAATGAACGTGTAAGGAGTTTAAAAGCCTTGTCGATATTATCAAAATGATGAACAAAGTAAGTGAGTGAGAGAGAGAGATATGAGTTAATATGTAACTATGATTCGATGTATGACCTCTTGCACTATTTGAAGAGGAAGGAGTGCGTAGACCAAAAACATGATGCATCAGTTGAAAATGTTTAACAGAAGTAATTTAGAGGTGTAGGCTAGTATGATATGATACGAACAAGGAGTTCCTCCTGGTTCGAATATTCTGCCGTATGGGTTGTTAACCTGTTGGCGGCGGTGGCTTGGCGTTAGAATACAAGTAGTGAGCGTGAAAGGACTGGTTTCGAGTAACTTGAAAAGGCTTGAAAAGAGACTTGATCAGTTTTTATCTTTGTAGAGTTTCCGGGCAAGTTTCCCTTCTTCTTTTTTTGTCTTTTCCAACATGTCATGTGGGAAAAGTTTTAATTCTTGATCTGACCAGAGCTTCGGAAGTTCGTTCTCGAATATGTAATTTTATTTTTGGATTCTAAAGTTTCCACTAATAAATGTGTGTGCAGTTGGGCATGCATGAACCGATTCTTCGAAATCTTAAATCATAACAAGTGAGATAAGAAGTAAGAAAAACTTCGACGTCCAGATTCCCTCTCATTGATCAACTCGTTTCTTCTTCGTACACTGACAACCACGAACGTTTGCCGCAACACGTGCGCTGAAATAAATGGCTGCTTCTTGCAGTCTTGCAATTCTTACAATATTCTCTCACTTTTCTGTCTGATGAGTTTCAACGCTATTGTACTCGTGCGCATTTCACGGACCGAAGCTGGTCCGACGAATCTTGCCGGCTAAACTATCGCCCTCAAGCAGACTATCTTTCAAGCCGTCTGTTTGGCATATGCCACCACGTTTTACATATTCCACCTCAGACGAGGCAAGACATATTCGCAGGGGGACCAGTATTGCATAATTGAAACAACATGGTGAACCTCGAGAAGAGATGGCTTGACGTTGACCTGCTCTTAACTTGCACGCGTATCCCGACAATGGCCTTATTATTCTGGACAGTAAATGACAAAGAACTTTCAAATTATAATTTGAACATTTTCAGGAATTCCCAAGCAGCCCTTATTCGAGAACAGCTACACATGACGGAAACAAGACGTGCGCACTTGCTGGCCGGCCGATCAGACATAGGAGGTATTCGAGATGGAGCCGATCATTAAATTTGATATCTACTTAGTAATATTCAAATCTGATGGAATAAAGGGAAATAATGTAATAGCAGGAGTATTATCCACACGAAGATTTATTACTGAGCATAAATGTGTTGCTATTTTAACTTATGTTTTTCAAATGGAAACAGTAGAAAAGAATAGGAGTCAATGAAGTATACACCGAAGCGATGAGAGAAGACTAGGAGTCCACGTTTAGTTTTTTCACACAATGTATGCTTAAACTTTGTAGATGATGCGAAATGAGAGCACACCTTATTTTGTTTTTCAATTTGGTCCATTGAAAAAATATTTTTCACCATTACAGAGATTTGTACAGAAAATTCTTAATGATTTTCATTATATAGGGTCCGAAGGGCCCCCAGGATACCCAAAGGGGCGCTGTCCGACAGGGTACTTGGTTTTGTCCGACAAAACAAAGGGCACTTACGACCAACTCTGCCTAGGAATACCTTTTAGTAAACTCTGGCAACTCCTTGAACTTATTAATGGAAATGCCTAGGCCTTTCCTCTCAGCTTCAAGAATTCCTTGAATAATTTTTTCCTTGAAAATGCACACATCTTTTCCCCAATTTTTTTGGTTTTCAAGCCTTGATTCAATGGAAAGATACGTCTATATATTAAAAATATTCAATTCTTGTGTATAATTATGGATCCTTTAAATTGAAGGTATTAAATTTACTAAGATTCAAATGTTTGATGTCCAACGTATATGACTCAAATTAGATTCTTATCCTATATAAAAAAAAATTTGATATCTGTCGGAATGTTAGACTTAAAAGTCCTTGAGTGGAACTATAAGAAGGAAGTTCTTAAGGTGAGAGTACCTGATAAAACTATGTTTAGAGATCATAAGTACAACCATCTATATCTACTAGACTGCAATATTATCTGTGGTAAAATCCATTCTATTTAATCTTAAGTTCAGATGTCTCATGTATGGCATTCAAGCCTACTACTTATGAGCACTATGTACTTGTCAATCCTTGACAATAGCAACCTGTTAGCTCCCATAGGTAAAGTAAAACTAAAATTTGGCCAAGATTGTGTAATGGACAAGCATCATAGGTAAGTCTTTGGCGTTAGATCTCACAATTTCAAGTGGTTATTTGAGTATGTACATAGTGACGAGTGGATATACTTTGCAAAATTTTCATTTTTTGAAAAGTTTTATTATGTATCATTTATTGATATGAAACAATGATTTTGTGATTTATTTCATCACACACAAATCTATAGTTTTTATAATTTTGAAAAGTTGAAAAATCCAAGTTGAAATTTAGATTGGACACAAGGTGAGATATTACATACAGATAATAGTAGGAGTATACCTTTGAGTAGTTTTGGACTTAGTGCAAAGAGGAGAGTATTACTCATCATCTCATCACGGATTATATTCACGTCATTTCAACTTTATTTAATGAAAATCTAGTAGAATATAAATCTCTAGATAAAAAATACATAAATTTTTTTATAGATTTCAATTTTTCATTCATTTCAGATAGAGATCATGAATATGTGATATTGCATGTGCGACAAGATATATGATGAAGAGTCATATGTCTTTTTTTTTCATTCTTCCCTCTATTGTTTCATTTTTTTCATAACTTGCTATGATCAAATGAATGATACACTATGTTCGATGAGTCATCTTTTCATTATACTCAAAAGAAAAAAAACTGTGAAAGAATGCACAAAAATAAAAAATTCATCATTCAATGTGGATGTGAAAAAATTGATCACATTTTAAGAAAGAAATGAACAATTTGAATTTTTTGATGATTTTTTCATATTAATCAGATAATGAAAATTGTTATTATCACACTCATCTCAAATCAAATGATTTATTATAGAAGGTCCTATTGTTTTATATTTTAAAAAAAATTATGTGTTTTTTCACAAAGTTGGATATTTTTTGTTTGATGCTCAATTTATCAGCAATTTATGAAGAAGTTAGAATGATCATTTTTATGTTATCAGGACTTGTTGGACATAGAAAGATGGATGAACATTAAAAAAGTAGATAGTTTTGACATATTTGAGCTAAAGTAAATCATATTCAGCTCAACGACAATGGCATGGTTTAATTACGACTATGTATGATCTTGAGTTAAGTTGGAATATATATCAGAGACACATGAAACCTTCACTGTTATTATTTAACAAAGCTTTATTCTAAAGCTTAATTTTTCTTTAGCCCTTTTACATAAACTCATGATCAAATAAACATCATTGAAATTATTATAGTATCATCCAACAGAAACACTTTTTCTTAACAAATTTCTGCAAAAATGCGCGTATTTGTGAAAAAGATGACTTTGCATGTGTTTAAGAAGACGATAGAATACTCTATATGATTCTAATTAGTAATTTTTTTCAAGAAATATTCTATTTGATTTCAGAAGTCTTTATCGTCCCCAAGTTGATAATGCTAGTCAAATAAATAAATGGAATAGAAATAAATGAACTTATAGATGTAAAGAAATTTTATTAAAACTAATTATCATATCATCATATTGTTTTTAGCTTAAATCAATTTGAATCTGACACATAAAAAATACCAATTTCTATGAACACATTTTGCTTTCAGATTACTTTATGAAATACGCTCGTGAATGTGAAAACAAATGGTTGAATTTTTTCTATTTAGAAATTTTTTTGAATTTTCTTAACAAATCAGTTTTGAATATTTCATGAATTTTTATGTATCATCATTGCTTTTATTTAATCTTTGTACACTTTACGTTGATCTCTATTTGAAAAAATTGGAATTGTAAAAAAAAATTCTTTTTAAAATCCGTAATTGGTGTATGATTAAATAATTCCTGAAGAAATTAATATTGCAATTCAAAATGACTATCCTATATCTAATTTTCAAGTATATGCTGGTTATATAACACTTATTTAATATGACATTTGTTTGCCTACACTTTAACATAATGAAACTCTTTGATTACACAAAGAAATCTTGCATATGTGTCATAAATTTACAACTTTGTCATATGAAAAAAAATAGCAGTGGATGAATACACACAAAATAATTGGTTACTTGGATTTTTTTTTACATTTTTGTTACCATCTTGATTTTCATCGCATATAGGTGCAGGCTTAGATTGCATGAAAGGCAAATGAATATTGCTTTTATCAACTTGCTTACATTGCTTTATAAACTAATGCAATCAAGCGCAGAGTTTTCATGTCATGTGAAGATTCTCTGGATACCATGTTCTGCGTTGACCTTAAAATCTAGATAGCTAGATTATAATAGTTCAACCAAAGTCGCCTAAAAATCATCACCAGTCTGTTAAATAGTTTAAAAAGAAAACATCTTCAGGAATAACATTTAGGTGTAAGGACAAGGGGAAATGATTAAATGGAGGACGGTAAAGCAAACCAGGAAAGATTCCAAACCGTGTGTGTCCAAGAAAGAAGGACAGACCGCAAATTTTGCAAAATTGCAGCTGCAAAAACAAGACGACAATTGTTTGGTTGAGATCTTTTGCATGTACCATTAAGTACATATCTTTATGAGATGTTTGACCAGCGTCTCTTGCATGAATTCGAGCTCAGTTCCAATCGACACTTGGCCAAGTAGACATGATTTCCCTGCCCATTAAGAGTCGTCACCAGACGTAAGTCCTACAAGATTGTCGTTCGGTATTGGTGTCTTATTTTATTTGTTGAAT